GAAGAAAATTTCACGAGGAAACAATTGAACCTACTTTTAGAACCTCACAGTTTCGTATGAACGAAATTATCAGCGTTTAAAGTTTCCAAATTTTGTCCGACCTCTCCTATTGACTCGATCCACCGTGCGGCGACGTTAGTGGCGCGTCGCGACGGATCACAAATTTTCCGTCCATCCGTCAAATCGACGGCATCCAATTCGTAGTTTCCGTACGAAGGAACGTAACTCCATTCCAAGGTTGTAAAATTGACTCAAACAATAAAATTTTTTACCAGAACGTACACGCGCAATTTTTTCTCAAAATTGTTCTGTTTTTCGCACGAGATCAAAGGAAAAAAATCAGCGTAATTTTCAGTTAGAGATCCCCAAGCGTCTCGTGGTATAAGAGAAATTTGCGCGAGACAATTTGGCAACGTTGGAATGAAGTTACGCTCTTTCGAGAGGGTGGCGACGAATTGTCGCAGCACGTGGAAAGTGGAAACGCGCCTTATCTTGTGTCGCAACGATTTCGATTCGCCCTTGAAGAGGGAAAGAGATAAATGAAAGTGAGAGCGAATGCAAACACAAGCTCGTAATGAATGAATATTTGAAGAGTGGGTTGAGTATTCTGCCGTGCTAAGGAAAAACGCCGTATGAACATTCGGGAGTTGCCAAATTTCCTTCGATAAAATGTTTATTTTTGAGGAAAGTTATCGATAATTTTCCTTGAAATTTTTGACCATTTACTTCAAATTACGAACAAAATTCTCTGAAAATTCAGAAGAAAAATGTTCATAAATATTCTCCAAAATTTGTGCTTTATCAAAGGAAATTTGGCAACGCCTGAAGGGTCATATGGCATTTTTCTTTAGCATGGCAGTATTCAAAACAGCGTAAGCGCCATTTGCAAGTAGCCTGATTCTGGGAAATATCGCGAATGGACTGATTTAGTGGCTACGCCGCCAACTACATAGAGTACAAGTAGAATCGAAGTTCCTGCGTCAAATGTTTCCCGCAACCCGGCGTTCATAGCTATAGGCCTGGATACACGCTCCAATTTCCATCAATTTCCGATCAAATGATGACTGGTGCGCACTATCTACCATCAAATTTTTGCGGCCTGCAAAAATTTGACCGCCATTTTTGTCATCATTTTGATCGAAAATTGATGGAAATTTGAGCGTGTATCCAGGCCTTAGCCGAACCGAGAACACTGGAAAAAAAAAAAAACATTGGATCTAGAGTCCAGACTGCTCTTAAAAACATCGACAAGAAACAGTACTCTTGATTCAATCAGAATCAAGCTTAAATCAAGAACCAAGCCTCTTAATTTAAGCGGATTTCATTTTGATTCAAGCAAAACTCCGATTGAATCCAGAGTATTTTTTCTTGTCAATGTTTTCAAGAGTCTGGACTCTAGATCCAATGTGTTTTTTTTTTTCCAGTGAATGAGTTGCACACCATTTCTTGAATGCACCGAAAAAAATGGTATGCTCTTTTGGCACCTAGGATGTCAAAAATGTGTCTGGTCATCCTAAGATGCTACCTTGATTGCCCACGCAGTTGAATTTGCATTCGTAGGATGTAAAGTTAACTGCGAGGGCAGTAAAGGCAGCATTTTGGGATCACCAGACACATTTTGGACATCCTTGGTGCTGAAACAGCATACTATTTTTTTCAGTGTGCCTCTGGAGGGGGCGACAGATATGAGATTCGTCGTGACAATCAGGGGATGCCCGTTGTTCGAGTAAGACGGCTTAACATCAAACTTTTCCGAAATGCCGCCAAAGTGATTTTAGCGCCTGCGTCTTTAGCCGTATTCCTGTGAGTTGGAACGTTAAAGTAGCCTTCAATATCGAGCGATACTGTGCCACGCTCGGGTACTTGAATGATTGCCTCGTGTTATGCACGCTGAGCATAGGTCCCTGGTCCATTGCCTGCTGCCCTGTTTGTGGAATTTGGCTCAATTGAGATGTTGCATGTGTGAGGAATTGCGATTTAACTATTGATTCTCACGTAAAAGTTCGCGAGAAACACGATAGTGCCTCTACTTTTCTCTGCAATCGACTCCCAAGCTCAAAAAAAGCTCTCAAGTTGAGGCCAAAATTGAGGGGATATTCCACGCTATCCTGAGCTTCCACCTCTACATCAAGGCGAACTCTCCATGCCAAGATAAGGAACAAATACATTGACGGGGCTCAGGGGCTGCCACTTAATTTGGGGAATCTAAAACTGAAAACACGGCAACCCTGCTAATGTATTTGCAACCTATCTTTGCATGGAAAGTTTAACTTATTGATGCAGAGGTGGACTCTCAGGATAGCGTGGGATATCCCCTACATTTTACCTCAACTTTGAGAGCTTTTTTTGAGCTTGGGAGTTGATTTCAGGTAAAACCAGTGGCACCATCGTGTTTCTCGCGAACTTTTACATGAGAATCCATAGTCAAATCGCAAATTCCTCACACATGCACATTTACCTACTCTACTTGCCGCCCATGGGCCGCCTGTATTTTGTCGCCCTCTTCTCATTCATTTTGAAACATCAATAAAAACCATCAAGTGAACGTGCCGGAGGAAGGAGGGTGCATAAGACTCGTTCACTCGTGTTTGACACGTTTTTTGCGTAAGCCCTGTCAACACCACTAGCAAAAGTTCACGGAACTTCACGCGAAAGTTCAGTTCCGTAAACCTATCTCTGTGTAGACAAGGCCTTTCATTTGTAAGAAATGAACTAAAAAATTAAGAAAGAACAAACATAAATGTGGTTTAATAATTGTAATTTCCGCCGCCGTGCCGCGCTGACCACACTGTGTTTGGCGCAATGCGTGAAGTATTCCTGCAGTCTTGTAGGCGCTATGCGTTTCACGCCAACCGCCCCTGACCGCGTGACCGCACTGTGTTTGGCGCAATGCGTGAAGTATTCATGCTGTCTCGTAGGCGCTAATATGTGTTACATGCCGACCGCGCGCCGAGCCGAGGGCTTCTCCTTTTCATCTCAAGTCCTCGTCATCATTTCTCTCTGCGCCGCGCCGCTCCAGGCTAAATTACGTGTTTGGTTTCTCTCTTAACTCAACTAATTAAAGGTGCGCAGTCTTTTGTATCACCGAAATACGACAAAATTAGAAATTTAGAAATTAATGAACTCTCAGGAAATGAGAGATTTTTTCACCTTTTCTTGTTTGTAATTTTATTCTGAATTCGATTTTTTGTACCTGCATTTAAAAAAATTGCAAAATTTGCCGCCCCCTAATTTTGCCGCCATGGGCCGCGGCCCATGTGGCCACCCCCTTAATCCGGCCCTGCACATGCAACATCTCCATTTCACTAGCCAGTCCGCGAACTGGGAAGCCAGCGGGCTGATTATTGAAATTGCTAGACAAAGCTATAGACAAAGAAGACAAAAGAGATATAGAGGGATCCCATTGGAGGAAGCGGGTGGTTGCAATGGATACAGGAGGCAGATAATAGACTAAGTAACAGCACCCTTCAGTCCATACCACCCACTTCAACCAATACATACTCCCTATGTCTTCTTTTTCTGAACGTCTGATAGTCTGAAATTTAGGGGGGCAAATACCACAGATTGCACCTGTGAGCCAAAAAAATCTTAAATCCGGCCCTGATGGAATGAGAAAGATTGATTTAAATGCACTCGACGGAAATATAAAAAAATCCGTCAGATTGAATATCTGACCTTGTCGCAAAAACCAACGAGAGAAGAGCGTAAGTGTGCGGATGATTATACTTATATAATGTGTTTGCTTGAAATTGCCGGATGCAGCGACTCATCATCGATATGACACATTACCTATTACGAGATGATTTTCCCCAGCTAAGCGTGTGACCTAAAATTCAAAGAGCATTCTTGAATATTCTAGACTGCTGATGGATGCATTTACCTACTTGAACTGCGATCACGGGAATGAATGGGAATGCACGTGATATATTCTTTTCCCTCTGTAGTATGGGAAATTCACGTGATGAAAACCATACAGGTTGTCCCAGCCCTAGAATCATTGGATGTTTTAAAAAAATGAAAAAACTCGAGCATTTCAAAGAGAAAACTCTTTTAAAACTAGCTCCCCCCAAATTTTAGCGTACCCCAAAATCGTTTGAGATCCACAAGGAGGCCATAGATATGGTATTCTATGCAAATTTTGAATGAAATTGAACAGATAGATTCTGAGATATGGCTGTACGCAGATTTGGGGGACGCCTGACGGATGGACACACATTTTTTCAAGTATGGTTATTTTGACTCCAGGGACCATCGTCTAGAAATGATGAAATTTCAACTTTTTTCCCCCCTTGGAGGATGACAATACCTCCTCTACTCTAGGGAGCGAGAAAGTAAAAACTGTCATACTATACGAGTTAGAGAACAATTAGTGTTCTTAATTGCGTTAAAATATATAACCCTGCACTTTTACAGGTTTTTATCACTATATTTTGATAAATTTTAACACACATTTTGCGTAAATGTTTAGTTTTCAAGTATCTCCGTTTGCGACGTTCCATATACTTCCTATCACACACTCTATTTTTTAATTGGAAAAAAAAAATCAAAATCTTCTCTTGAAAACCTCTCGATTTTTCCCTCTGCGAAGAATAATCCATGAAAATGTAAAGAAAGATTGGTGGCCTTTTTCTCCTCCGATAAAGTAAAGTGACGATGATTTTGAGAGAGACTTTGCCAAAGTAACTGCAGTAAACGCACGCACAACTGAGCACATTAATTGGGTATTCCTTCGTCAATAAAATCATCTCAAATTCTCAAATGTAAGGAACTGGTGCCTAATTAAAGTTCCCTACTTCCACCGACAAAAGCCGCCTTTATCGGTGGTTTCCTGATACTCAACTATTATTCCGATGATTAGAATAATTAGTCTCGGAGGTCTGAGCAGAGCGCGCTCATTTTGTAAAAAAGCCCGTCAATTTAAATTTCGCGGTTATTTTTACATCTAACGACAACGCTCAACGATCATCACGCAACTTTGTTTATTTTGTTTGGGTGTGTGTTTTGTCAGTTTTGTGTTATCAGCAGTTATCAGATAGGAGTAGTAAACTGTAATTACTGTAAACAAAATTAGGAAAATCCCGCAAAAATTAAAGTGATGAAGCAGTTCGTTGTTCAATTTCCTAATTTTCACTGTGCAGTATAAGTCAACAAGTAACTGGTGCCTCAAATCCACTATCATTTTCCCTCATTCACCATGTACGATGTGTATGAAAAGCATCATCTATTAAAATCAAACTCCAGCATAGAAGCGCTAGCAGCTTATGGTAAGGCTCATGACTTTAAATACCGATTGATTTAACTTAAATTGAAGTTATTTTCTTTCACTGCACAGGCGGCAGAAAGGATATATAAGTTTCTTGACCTCGCCCAGGTTTATTGGAAGACCAGCCACCATTCACTCCAGTGGAGTAATAGCAAAGTCCAAGCAAAACATCATTGCTATATTTCTTTATATTTTGATTATTAATAGCATGCTATTCAAGGCATCATCAGTGATCCCAAGCTGGCGGATCATCCCCATCCTGGCGCGGATAGCGTAGGGATAGAAACCTCACGAGAAAACGCTTCCCTATCTCAATATATCCGTATGCCTGACGTCACAGAATGATGAAGTAGCCAATAGTAGGACAGAGAAAGGCAGAGAGTAAGTATCTTGCACACAGAGCACCCAGGAACACTAGGCATCATGCTTTTGAGGTCATATAGTTACTCACCGAGGACTGGGTTAGAAAGTGCGCTCGTCTTGGAAAACTGTCAAGCTCTGCTGGGTTTTTGTTTTGTCACTTATCGCTTGTTCACCCAAAATGACTTTCATTTTAATCAGTCTTTTAATTCTTTGATATCAAGGATCTAGGAATAGATGTCTCCGGTAACCTTTCAAAGATTTTGACCTCTAAAATCATTGACTTTGTGCTCAAATACCTAGTGTTCCCTCATATTTAAGAACAAATTTCAAGCATCATATTTGACTAGCTTCAGGCATCAGTTTTATCTGAATGTAGTTCATTTCTAATTCTGTGTTTGCTATCTCTGCTCCATAGCAAACAAGTCTGCTTTATTGCAGCTGGTAATTATTTTAGACGCAGTAAACTCTGCGCCTAAGTTGATTGCGTAAACTTATGAGTGTAAGTATCTTAAAGCACCAAGTGAAGGGTCGCTGGCGCCTATTTTTATCTGATATGACCTATGAAACTGGTTACTCAATAAGTCTGGATACTTTCCTCAACGGATTTTTTTTTGGCATATATATAGGACATCCTCGGTGAAGTAGAGGATAATTGCTAAATGTTTTACTTCACACTTTTTTTAGGTGTTTCATAAGTAGTTTGATAGTGATGCTCTTTTTAAAGACTGAGGTTGGCCAAGGAGCATGCAAAGATCATGCAAAATTAATTCCAATTATTAAAAATTATTTCATATCATTGCAAGTTATATAACTAGTTTCATTACCAAGTGCTTGTATGACTGATATTGGAAACTGCAAGTAAACAATGTTGTCAGAGGAAAAAAATTAAGCATGTCCAAACCTAATGGAAGAGAAAATTTTTTAGCATGAATCATGATGAGTTTCTATATTTATTCTTGCCAAGTTTTTTTTTCTTTCCTTTCTGCTCTTGACTGGAGGAGAACACACATCAATCGTTAGGAAGAAGAACAAATAAAAATGGAAAATGCATCCTATAGCTTTTACAAGCACATCATCACTACTTAGAATTATGAAAAACTTCCCTGAAAATGGACAGATTTGACCAGATTCAGCCTATCTGCACTTCATATTGCCTTTTTCCGACTCATGTTTAATTGTAACAGTAACTGAAATTACATAATGTCTTAAAACTTTAAAATTTCCCTGCAACTTGTAAAATTTGAAGTTAGAATGTTAATTAGTTTTCCGTTAAAAAAATGGAACACGAGAGGAAAAGTGATGTTTGATGTACATATTAAGCTAGATTCTGATTCAATGCGTCCAAATAATACCTACTTACTTCTATGGACTACATTTTGCAATTTGGAACTACAATTTCTGGCTCAGTTTTGAAACAACGTATGAATCATTACTTTCTGTACAAACATAAGTGGTTTTACAAATGAGCCTGAAATTGCAGTTGCTAATCGCAGAATGCAGTCCAAATGTAAGGCTCAAATAAATGTTTGAACTATTATCCCTGAATTGAAGCGATAAGTTATTGCTCTGTAATTGGTCAAAAATGTTAAGCACTCCATAAAAGCTCGTAAAAAAGTTTACTCTTTACATTCTTACTGCAGGACGTCTCAGGCAGAAAATCGGTTTCTATGATTTAGGTAGATAGTATTGAGAATCTAGAGGTTTATTTTCTTTTTTCGCCTGGTGGTGACTGAAAACAACTAATTTTTAAATATCCTCTGCAATTGACAGTAATTGCAAAGTGTCTGTTTTTTCCTCTGAACTTGTATTTAAGTACACCTCAAGGAATACTTATGAATGTATTAGTCACTTTTACAGTACACAAGGGTGGCGTTTGACACTTAACAGCCACAGTAATCTGCCAAGGCAGATGTCATTTGGCATTAGGAATACCTTCCATCTATATTATCACCAGGGAATTGCCTTCCTTTTGTTCATTACCTAAATATTAATTTGTTATTTTTGTCACAGATGATGTATTGTATGTTGGAACAAGTAAAGGGAACCTGGCCAAGTATAATATCAATATCAAGTATGAAGACGGGAAGATGAAAGTAGAATCATCGCACCTTTGCTGTTACTACAAAAATTTCAGCAAAAAACCCATCCAGCAGCTTGATGTTATCCCTCATTATAACATTTTAATCAGTTTATCAGGTACTGCTAGATTTTAAAATCTACAGAAGTTTTGCGTTAAGTTTTGGAAAATGACAATTTTTTAAATAAAATGTATTCACTTGTCATTAGTCTAATGAATTGCATGATTTTATTTAACAATTATGGAAAATGGCATTCCCAGACAAATTTTAAGATAGCTAATAGAAATACAACCCAAGTAAGAAAATGAATATATAAAAAAATTAATAAAATTTTAGTATATTGAAATTAGTAAAAAAAGGAACTGAAAGTCAACAACCGAATAGCGGAAAAATTAAAGTGTATTATTCGTGGTATTTTGCAAATACTGATTGGTTCTCAGCTACAAAATAAAAAATTAAAAAGAAACTTCATTTACCTTATAGAATCTAAAAATGGAGCACAATGCACGTCTAAAGAATTTTTGGTCTGAAAGGCACTTTTATTGTACGTAGTTTCTTGCTTTAGTACACTGGAGTAGGTATTTTATTCAATAAATTTGAATCGTGTACGATTTCTTTTTTTGACTTATATCCTGTATTTTTTTCTTTTTAATTTTCACAGATAACTTGGTCTCGGTTCATGATACAAACAAAACTAATTTTCCCCTCTTGCACGACCTTTCAAAAACTAAAGGTGCCACTTTATTTACTCTACATCTGAAGGTAAGACAGTTTCAGCGTTTCCATGTATTAATCTTGCTATCAGCACGATGCTTGTCCAAAGAACTGAGAATTTTCAGGGTGAAGAGAACTTCTTTCGGAAGTATGTCCAGGGTGCAACACTAATCCTATGATATTTTGTTCAGTATATTCTCGGAAATGTTACTAGATTATTTTCTACATTCAAGAATGTTGTCGAAGTTGAACTTTCACCCTCTAAGGGTGCAGAATGATCTCAATGTGTCCCCGTAAAATACTTACACTGTAAATATTTTCTTTGGGCATTTCTGACCTGATCAAGTATTTATATTTCTTTTAACTTCTTCAGGAATTTACATCTATGACTGGTAAAACGGCAATCTATGTGCGAATGTGCGTGGCTGTGAAACGAAAACTGTTGTTTTACTATTGGAAGAAAGGGGAGTTTCTTGAATTGCGGGAAGACATCGTTCTACCTGATGTACCTCGAGCTCTTGCATGGTGTGCAGATTCAATATGTGTGGGATTTAAAAATGATTATGTTCTCTATCAGGTATGTATTGTAGATTTACAAGTCTTAATAATTTTTTGTCTCTAATTCTATCTCTTATTTTCCCTTTTAAAATTTTTAATATTAATTGTGCTAAAAGAGCAATTTACATTCCACTGAACCCAAAAGCCTGTTCATCTGTCTTCATTTAATCCATCATCCATGATGCCCTTTTGTTAGGAGCGGTGCGAGACTCTCTTATCACACAACAAATTTGTTATCCGTATCAGTCGTAGTATATGTTTAGTGAATTTTTCTTCTTTGAGATATTTATATCGGGCTGAAAAGTAATAAGTAACTAAGTGTCATAATTCAACCCGATCAAGAAAGCTAGAACATAATTTTTTTTCTGTTTTCCATTGCAGTTGCACCATGAGCCTGAAGCAGGAAGTGAGGAGAACACAAATTCACCAAAGAAAAAAGATTTATTTCCTGTCGGCAAACAACCCGAACCCAGCATCACGCCACTTAATGATGACTCATTTATTGTTGGGAAAGATTTTGGCTCTGTCATCATCGATACAAAGGGAAATGTCGCTGTGGAGCATGCTGTGAAGTGGTCCCAAACACCCAGCAGCCTCGGTAATTTATATTTTTACTAAATCAAATCCAAGATCATTGATCTATTGACTTTTTAAGAAAATGAAGAACTTCTTTCCACCAAGAAGCACTGCTTACTATGCATTTATAATGCAACAAATTTTATTGATTTGATGCTTTCGTTGTCTGGCAGACATCCAGGTTCTTAAAGACAAACCTCCTTGACCAAGACTTTTTAATAAATAGCCAAATAACAAGTGATTGGGCGCCTATAGATTAGAATTTTCAAAACGTACAAGAGTATGTTACATACCACCATATCGAAATGTTATCAATATCCTCTTGCCAACAACATACTACAATTGTTGTTTATTTTGCATTTTTAATCAACTTAACTGATTTTGCCTCAATTTGCGAGCAAAATAAATTCTCATTTGTCGGTTCATTCCAAGATGGATATATGTAAGTATTAAATCTGGTTTGCATTGCTTTCTTTTCATGTTCTAAATGAAGCTAAGCTGCTGAATGCTAGCGCCCTTGCCATGATGTATCATATCTATGATCTAACTATATCTCTGTTTTACTTTTTTTTCCCAGCAAATGACGACCCTTACCTCCTGGCTGTACTCAACGAAACAGTCGAAGTTCGCAGCGTTGAGCCAGCCCTACTAGTGCAAACCATTCCTTTTGCAAAACCTAAACTCATATGTCGCTGTAAACGAGGACTAACTTATGTTGCCTCATCAGAGCAAGTCTGGTGTCTTGTTTGGAATCCAATCAGCAAACAGATCCAGCTTCTTCTTGAAGAAAAACAATTTCAGCTGGCGCTGAAACTCTCCAACTTCTCCGATGAAACAAGTGAAGACAAGAAGAACATTCATTTGATTCAGACATTGTATGCGTTTGATCTATTCAACAACAAGCAATTTCGGGAATCAATGCAGGAATTCTTGAAGCTCGGGACAGATCCCTATGATGTAATCCGCCTTTTTCCAAACCTGTTACCCCAGCAAGTGCAAGATCAAGATCTGTCTACGTCTCAAACCCCCGACTTGGAGCTGAATGATAAGCACTTGGAAAACGGTTTGTTAGCTCTCATCGAGTATCTGACTGAGGTACGATGGAAATTAGCAGGAACAGAGACACAAAATATTCAGCTCTTTCAGATCATTGACACAACATTGTTGAAGTGCTACCTCCAGACAAACGATGCCTTAGTCGAGCCCCTATTGCGACGAAACTACTGCCACCTAACAGAAACTGAGTACACCCTTAAGAAATATAATAAATTTAGTGAGCTTATTATTTTATATCAAACGAAAGGGTTGCATTCTAAAGCACTTGAGTATCTTCAAGAACTGGCCGATGAGCCCGATTCACCATTATTTGGGTGTGAAAAAACAGTCAACTATCTCCAGCACCTGGGCAAAAACGAGATGGACTTGATTTTCCAGTTCGCGGATTGGGTGCTGCAAAAATATCCAGAGGAAGGATTGAAAATTTTCACAGAAGATATTGAGGAGGTAGAACAGTTGCCCAGACCACGTGTTCTAGATTATTTATTAAAAAATCACAAATCATTAGTCATCCAGTATTTAGAGCATGTTATTCATGTATGGAAGGACACAAATGGCATTTTTCACAATGCTCTAGTGCATCAATATAGAGAGAAAATTCAACAGCTCTCTGTACCGAAAGCAACATATGCAGAACAACAAGCAGCGCAGAATTTCAAAACAAAACTGTTCAAATTTCTCGAGGAATCGGACAGCTACGGCCCGGAAACAGTTCTAATCCACTTCCCTCATGACAGCATGTTTGAAGAGCGCTGTATTATTCTTGGAAAGCTAGGCCGGCATGAACAGGTTTTATCAATCTATTTAAATAATCTAGGTGATATTCAGCGAGCAATTCGATACTGTGATAAAGTCTATAAAGCGAACGTAGAAGGCCGTGATCAAGTTTATTTCCTACTAATAAAACTCTTGATCAACCCGCCTGATATTTATTTTGGAGGTTCATCACATACTACCCCACCACAGCCAGACCTGGAGACAGCGTTAACAATACTCGAGTCCAATGCTGGGAAAATCGATGCTCTTAAGGTTTTAAGTATTCTTCCAGATGATATACAGATGACAAAAATCAAGCATTTCCTTACTTTAAGTCTTTCAAAGCAGCTAGATGAAAGGCGGAGGGCCCAGGTGTTGAAAGGGCTAGTGTACGCAGAGCATTTGCAGGTTCATGAGTTACGAATGTTTTATGAGTCACAAAGCTTCCTAATTACAGAGTTTAATGTCTGCCCTGTGTGTAAGAAACGTTTTACAAATCAAAGTGCCTTTGTTCGATATCCTAATGGTGATGTTGTACACTATTCATGTCAAGAACAAGTTACGTAATGTTTGTCAATCGCTATGATTAATTCATAGTTTTTTCCAGAACTAATGCGCCGTTGTTGGCTATTCTGAGCGGAAGTCTTACCAAAAACCAGAAATTGTTGCTGATAGAATGAATCTATTCTAAAGCCCATTTTGCCAAATTAAAATTGGTGTGTGAATTCTTCGTATAATTTTTTCAGGCCACTGTGATAAAAAAAAATACTGCCAACCTATTGTTAGTTAATTTTCATCTAATAATAATATGCTATTCAGGACTATGAATGATGGAAAATTCTTAGCTAAAAATCCGGAAAAGAAATTAGAAAAAACTTGGGTACCTTATGCTGCACCCTCTCTCATTACAAAAGAGTAATATGCAATAATGATCTCCCAATGTAGCATGATTAGGTATCAGCTAAATCATCTTTTTACACATGTCAGAAGTTTTTTGTTTAAAAATGACAGTTATGCCATCCTGAAAACAAACATTGTGTTTTAATTCTATACTGATTGTATTGTGACAAAATGCTGTATTTAAAAGAAAACCGAATACCTAATATTTATCACTCATTTTTTGAAAATGAGTGTAACCTCTTATTGGGAACTCAATATGAAAAAAAAATGAAGCGCCCTGTCAGTGGCAATCAGGTTCTCTTGATAAACAGCATTATGTGTGGAAGTTAATTGTAAAATTTGAAATAGATTCCCTGCATTTTTGCTTTGGATGGCAGAGTTGTTCCAAAAGTTATGGCTTTTAATGATATTTTTACATTTGAGGCAAATATTTTACGTGTAATCTGTTATTTTTTTTTCAATGTATTATTGTTGTTTTAATTTTATCATTAAAATCGATTCTTTTTTAATCTGCTCTAAATTCACTTATTTCATCTCAAGTAGGACGTGCAAATAATTGAAAATAAAAAAGAGATTAAAGTTTCTAGAATAATGAGCAATAACACATACTTACGTCTGGAACATTTGAAAGTTTTCATTCCACACTAAGTCTGCTCATGCACAATGTTATTCCATTTTTGAACATGAAAGAACTGACGCAATACATATCAATGGTGAAGGTAGAAAATCACATGTCTTGATTTGTGAGGTTACAAATTACTTTTTATAAAATGAATACTATTTCCTGGAAGTTGGTTCTCTATTCTAAACGAAATATTCTGTGGAAATCTTGGAAGAATAATGCTTTTCCGTTCTTCATTGAAGAAAAAAGGAGATTCTTATTGGTCATGATCGAGGCACATGTTTTTCAACTTCCATTAGATATGCAATGCCACTCTGTGTGCCTGTGCATAGGAGCACATTTACATTTTGCCAAATTTTCTGGAAGAAATTCCGTATTATGGGGAAAACTAATGGGGGGTTTTTTTTTTTGGTGAATTTTATGGAAAATTGAATGCATAATCTGGATAACCTAGAGAAAAAATACTTAAATTACCTAATTCATCAAAGTTATATAAAACAATTTTAATGCCAAAAAATCACCCATAGAATTACACGGTTCATAATACAAAATCTTATGATAAGTGCTATTGGGCGCGACACCATTATTTGACCTCCCAGGAGCTCGGTAGTGTGCCTATTCAATTCATTGAAGGCGCTTTTTTTGCTGTCGTGACTTCGTGAGTCCTGGGACGGCATAATAATTCTTATAAACTATCGTGGTATGGTTACGAGTAGATTCTCATTTGAAACCTTTCTTCTTTTCTTACCTTTTCGCCCGAGGTGTCAATAAGTTCGCGTGGAACTACATCTTCACGTTGCCAAATTTTTTGGGAGAAATTAAGTGTTTCCTAGTTAAACAATTTTTCTGCACGCTTTACGGAAAATTTCACGCATAATTTGATCTGGATAACTTAGGGAAAAATATTTAAATTAGTTCATCAAAGTAGGTAAGTACATACATTTTTAACCGCCAAAAAAGCACCCCTAAAACTACTCGGTCAGTAATACAGAATCTTATGATTCGCGCTGTTGGGCGAGATACCATTATTCGACCACCTAGCTTGGTGAGCCTACTCAATTCATTAAAGGCGTTTTAATTTGCCGTCGCGGCATTCTAAATTCCTATGAACTATCGTGGTGACGATCGCAGATTCTAATTCCCGATCTCTGTATTCCTATCTGTGCATGGTGAGTTTGACTGAATACAGATGTGGACGCTCTCAGCAAAGCATCAGGGATCCCATCTATCACGGCCCCAACTTGCAAAGCTTTTTTTGAGCTTGGATTGGAAAGTGATCCCAGAGAAAGCCAGTGGCACCATTGTGTTTCGCGCGAAAGAGGTTGTTCCATCTACCATTGAAACTGGGCCCAGAATGAAATCTCCTCATCTTTTCAGGTATCAAAGGGCATGGTCAGGGACACCCAAAAATGGTTGAATTTTTTCCAAATTCCCCCCTGGGGAGGGGGGGCGGGGGGTTATGTGAAAAACGGTTTTTTGGCTATAACTTTTGAACGGTTTGAGATATCGATTTGAACTTTTTTTTAAATGAAAGGTCGTTTAAAGAGCTTTCTTTTGGTATATTATGTTTAATAGTTAGGTCGATTTTTGACCAATTTATGGCCTGTCAAAAATTTTCCATGAGTCCAAAAATCAGATTTCTGTAGTTTAGAGCAGCGACGATCGCATGCAGATGAACAAAAAACTGTTCAACTTATAGCCCTCTCTCTGACGGTTAAAATGAGCCCAAGATCATCTTGGGGAAACGATTTGTCTCCGAGTTATGCTTCTTCAAAGTTGGCGCGGCGGGGTCCGCTTCCGCGGGGCAGCGCTCCGGAGTACGATAGTTCACTCCCACCCCCCTCCCGTCATGCCACGCGACGCAAACCGAGGAAGACTACCTTTAATGATCATTTGAACAGATAAATGCACACAATATACGCTATTATGTTGTACAAGTATTATTAAAATTATATTGAAAACGCTCTATAAAATGAGAAGCAATATACCTGGATCCGGCAATTTGATTGACGACTATCGCATAGTGTCCGCGATACATAATTTATATTTTCAACGCCTGCAAAGTGATGGTGACATCCAAGCCTGCAACAAATTGTTGAGGACGAGAAATGGCTCCGAACAAAAGTGGTTTTTGAAAAACCTGACGGCAGATCATTTTGAACAATTAGAACAGTGGAGGAGCGAAGATCTTGACACCCTCTCGGGAAGTTATCAAATTGGACTTATTGCAGCAAGTTATATTGCAGACCATTTTGCTAATGGAAAATATTGCTTTCAAGTGACGAAGGATAACTTTTTGCCAGTTTTTCAAAAATATGATATTTCCGTAAATTCGCCTCTTTTTCTTCGATCGCGGATCCTATCGAGGCATAAATCAAAAAAAGAATATCATATATTTATATTAATCGACACCAGTAAAAAATCCAGCGAGGCCATTAAAGCAAGTTACTGCACATGTAATAACGGTGCGCGTACCATCAATCCTTGTGCTCACGTCTTAACTATACTGTGGTATTTGTTTTTCGGGTGCCATCACAAAAAAACAGCGCCTTCAGCCTTTTTGAACGAGTGCTTCCCTCTCAGAAAAGTCGATTTTGGCTTTTCAGACGACGAAGATGAGGATGAAAATGCGGATCACACTGCCGATGATCCTATGGATTGCGGTGATGATAAATTCGGTGAGATTCCACTCTTCTATTTATTATATTAATATAATTTTAATAATACTTGTACAACATAATAGCGTATATTGTGTGCATTTATCTGTTCAAATGATCATTAAAGGTAGTCTTCCTCGGTTTGCGTCGCGTGGCATGACGGGAGGGGGGTGGGAGTGAACTATCGTACTCCGGAGCGCTGCCCCGCGGAAGCGGACCCCGCCGCGCCAACTTTGAAGAAGCATAACTCGGAGACAAATCGTTTCCCCAAGATGATCTTGGGCTCATTTTAACCGTCAGAGAGAGGGCTATAAGTTGAACAGTTTTTTGTTCATCTGCATGCGATCGTCGCTGCTCTAAACTACAGAAATCTGATTTTTGGACTCATGGAAAATTTTTGACAGGCCATAAATTGGTCAAAAATCGACCTAACTATTAAACATAATATACCAAAAGAAAGCTCTTTAAACGACCTTTCATTTAAAAAAAAGTTCAAATCGATATCTCAAACCGTTCAAAAGTTATAGCCAAAAAACCGTTTTTCACATAACCCCCCGCCCCCCCTCCCCAGGGGGGAATTTGGAAAAAATTCAACCATTTTTGGGTGTCCCTGACCATGCCCTTTGATACCTGAAAAGATGAGGAGATTTCATTCTGGGCCCAGTTTCAATGGTAGATGGAACAACCTCTTTTAAGTAAAATTAGTATTCTAATCGCAAATTTCTGACGCACGCAACATCTCCATTGCAGGCTCGCAGTACACACTGGTTGGATATGGTGCACTCCGCGGAAGATCGGAAGCTGAAAAATTACGATTTTTCAAAGATTACAGCCACTAGAACGCGTACTAGCGCCTACAAGACTGCATAGATACTTCACGCATTGCGCGCACGAACCGTGGTGTTCGCGCAATGCGAGAAGTATTCCCTCGGGCTTGTAGGCGCTTATATGCTCATGCCAAGTGCTCTATTTAACATCCATAAAGCCAGTGAAGTAACCCCATTACTCAGTCTACTACCGATTAGGGATGGCAATTTTTTTTAATAAATCGCGATGTCGGGAAATGTATTTGATTTTCCGTAAAAAATCGATTCGATTTTAAAATCGGATGGAAATAATCGATTTCAGAAAAAATCGATTTTTTTCGAAATTTATTTTTAAAACACTTAGAAATCCAACTTCGGCGTCAAAAACATAGTTACTACTACAACTGAACTTGAAATGAAACTTAGGTTTCACAGAAACTAGACCTTATATGACTCATCAACGCCGGAAATTTCGATTTTTTTTTCAAAAATTCGATTTCGGCTCGATAAATCGATTTTTCAAATTACCATCCCTACCACCAACTTGCATCATTCACACGCACATCAAGGGATCAAACCCCAGCTACTACAGTTACCATTCTACAAACGCGAGTGGTTGCCTAGCAACGTCTGATTCGTAAATAAACACATCGGTATGTTGAGCTGTTCATCACGTGTTAGCATATTTGCAGAGGTGTCTTGACAATTGAATTGTGCCATTTCAGTTCGGCGGTGTGAGAATTTATTTTGTGCAGTGTGAGATACAGTGAAATCTGATGAATTTAGTACGTGTCGACTATACTTTAGTTGGATTAACGGACTCTCATTGTATGAAACTGTTGCCGACCGCGACACCAAAAAGTGCTCAGAAAGTAAGTTCAGAGGGACGAAAATTATTTTTTCACTTAAACTTGCTTCGTACGCATTATTTGTAACGGAGTCAGGCGATATGTGCCTTACGGTAAGATGGGGGGGGGGAGGTGGCGGTGAGATGACTAAATAACAGTTTAAAGGAGTTAATTCTTCGTCTACCATACGAAAGAATGTAACTAAACTTCGATGTTGCAAAATTTTCAGTCGCAAATAGTATTTTTACCATAAAATTGTTGGGCATTTTCAACTGAAAATGTCACTGATTTTATTCCCTTTGATTACTTAGAGAGAAAAAATAGTGAAAGCACTATTAAGAGGCTTGGAGGACAAAGTGCATGAGTGCAGTCGTTTTTTTTAAAAAAAATTGAGGTATTAATTATTTCAAGTAGAACTAGTCTTAATGCGTATTCTGTGAAAAATTCGCTCTCAAATTCCAATTTTCAAGTCTTAAAAAGTCAGTTTGAACTCTCTCTCAGCCATAAAGATCCATGTAATTTCGAAACTTCAAACACGCCTTTCTCGAAATGAGCAAATACTGCACTTATGTGCATCGTCCTCAATGCATATTCTTGCAAACCTTGAATTTGCTTTAATTTAGCATCCTTTGGAATGAAGTTACGCCGCTTTTTCATCTGCTAAACGAAGAATTCTACATCATTTGTCGCGAAAACCTCCAAAATTGACTTCGTGTCAGCAATTCAAAGAAGACAAAAAAATTGGGAAATTCGAGCCAGGCTATCAGCACTGTCAGCTCTAAAAACTACTTAATCTACGCTTATGGCACTATTAATCATGCAGGTTTTAACTTTAATCAAATATTTGGGAGAGAATTAGAAAGTGCTCTAGCATTGCTGGAGCATCAACAGCTGCCTATGTATAGCATAGATTGCAATAAGAAGCAACTGTTACGTTGTAAAAATATTGCAATTCCACCCAGTGTTGTGTATGTGCCCTACCTCTTATTTGAAGGGGCCCCGTTTATTGAAACCTATTGCAATGAAATTGAAATAAGTTAATTGCAATTTTTCATTGCATTGCATATTGCATACTCTCTTACACATAGATCTCATTTTGTTGTTTGTTTAAAATTGACATAACTCGACTAAATGATGTAAAAATATTGCAATTTAATGGTAAAAAAATGACCATTGTAGTGGAATTAAATTGTAATTTAATTTCAATATTTTCGTTGCACTGTGAAACGAAAACATCGATTCTCATGAGAATCGATTTTTTCTCCCGACCGGTTTCGTCGCTGCACAGGGCAATCTGCGTTCCCACTTTTCAACACATTTTATCTAGCTCTGGCACAAATAAAGCGCTCCTGAGGAATGAATCAAACTGCGTGTCCTTATTTTTCGCCAGGTTGTAATCGGAGATCAGAATGGCACTGTTCAAGAATTTTACTTCAAGAAAGGCGAGATCCAGCAAGTATTTAAAACCCTACCAGGACCTCCTATCTCCCGAATTGCTCTCGGCGGCGCTCTCGGTAAGATATACCTGATTTAGTTTTTCTCTGTAAAAAATTAGCTGTGAAAATATCGGGTAATATCGTTAATTCATTTTCCTGTGATGAAATAGACTACATTTTGCAATTTGGAACTATAAATTCTAGCCCGGTTTAAAAACAACGTATGTGCCATTAGTTTCCCTATGCACGTAAGTGTTTTTTCAGATGAGTCAGAATTTATAGTTCCAAATTGCAAAATGCAGTCCAAATGAGGTACGCGTTTTTTGCAGTTTCGGTTTTTTTCGCCGCTATGGTAAGTAACATTGCAGCGATGATCGTGTTGTTGGCGAGTTGGATTCGAATTGACTAAAATTCCCTTAGTTTTTTATACGTTTTGATATTTTTCTGTTTAATTCACAAACTTTGACGTTTGCAATGGTACCTACATAAAATGAGCGCTAACTTACCAAACTATGTCAACTCCTGGGTAATGCAACTATTTTAACTCTCGAGTGACCAAAATTGCATAACCACTGAGTTGAAGGATAACTCATTTTTATTACTTGTTAGTAGCGATCATGTTGCGCTGTGCCATTGAATTACGTGATAAAATTCGATGGACATAGTTTGGAAACGCTTATCTCCGTTCGTATAGTGTTGCAGACTTCCCGTCTTACTTAATTTTTTCATTAGAAAACCAGTAAACTTAATTTCTTGAAAGGTTCCTTGATTTTTCTTCTTTATTCTCATATTATTCCTTAGAAATTTCAATTTGTAGTTGACTTGTTTCTTTTTTTAAAAAATAGAGTAAGATCAGTGATTTTGAAACAGCATAATGGAGATAAGTAGTTTCGCTTTTTCGCCATCGAACTATTCCGACTCCTCAGTGGCTCAAATTGCCTTCTTGGTGTGACAATTTAGGAAAACTGCGTTCCTCGTTTGATATTTTTCTCCTTCTTTCCAATTCGTGGTGTTGTGTAAGGGCATCACTGAGGACTTGGCTTGAGGTGTCGGCTAATCGCGCGGTGTGAATTCGCATCTGTGAATTGTTTAATGGATAAATGTATCCAATTCAGTCATCAAATTAGAGAGTGGGCTGAAGAGGGGGTATTTGGATGGAATTTCACTCTAAAAGTGCATAAAATGTTAAAGCGCTTATCACATTTGAATGCAGCGGGGCGATTATTGAAATGATATCGACTGTATGTCAGCGCTTTGTCGTGTCGCGCCATCGACTAAGCAATGGCTTAGTCGATGGCGCGACACGACAAAGCGCTGACATACAGTCGATATCATTTCAATAATCGCCCCGCAGGGCGATCAAGGGTTAAACGACCAGACTACAGCGTGTTCTCTGGGCGAAAATAAGACTTTATTGTTGTATAAAACTTTTTTTCTAAAGTGCCCCCAGTCGGAGCTACGACCTAACCCCCTCCCCTCCCCCAAATTTTGGAAAGTAAACAGTTTTTCCTGAATTTTGGCACAGGTTGTGAAACATGCATGAACGATAAAAAAAAAAAAAAAACAAGCAGTGAACTCCAACACAATGTGTTGATAAGGCGCGTCATTAACTCGCACATATCATCCCCTTTAGTTTTCATTTACAGAGATTTCAAAATAGGCAAGTAGCACAACAAGAGAATTCATACGATCCAACACTTCAACGACGCACTTTGACGAGACCGCATATTGTGAATGTAGAAAGCTATTCGAACGAATTTAAGTTTTTTGATCTGCCTGAAGCAAAATCTTATCAGATTCTTGAAGGAAAGTGCTGCGGAATAATTTAAGCGAATAATTAAGGAAAAATTCTGTTGAACTCCTAGAAGATAAAGTTGATTTAAAGGTATTTTGGGGCTAAAATACCCAAATCACCGGCATTATAAATCCCATTATATTTTTGAAAAGAAATTGACTCGATATAAATGCAATTGCTTTAAATATGTCTTGATTTTGTTACTTTAAACGTATTTCCATGGAAAGCAGTTCAACCATGTCTATGCTTTATTCATTCATGAATTGAAAGTAAGAAATCTACATCCCAAAAATCTACCGATTTGCCGTAAAATATCGCAGAAACTTGATATACCAGGTCAATGTACCCACTCGTTGAATTTACGAATTAATTTTGTGAGTGCACAAAGGTTAAAGTCAATATGCTATAGTCATTTTGGGTGCCTTTATTTTTCAAGAAACAATTACAAGTAATTTCAATCCCAAAGAACCATCAATTTTCCGTATAAAATCGAAAAAATAAAAATATGTCCACTCCCTGACGTGAAAATTAGATTCTACGTGTGAAAATGCTTATGCATCGATATGCTGAACAGAATCCATGTCTATCGCAAAATTTTTCTCAGAGCAAAGGTTTGTGTTATTATCAGCTTCCCTTTAAACCCCGGTTCGATGGCCGAATCGGCTGCCCAAAAAGCAAGCCATTTTTGAAGGGTTCTATGGGAAATTCGTGATATTATCGGCTCTTAGGAAATCACCTCATGGCTAAAACTGGTGGTATAAATGTTTGAGTGCTTAAAATAATCGTATTTAAGAAACTAAGGCATTAAACTATGGAGTCAATTTCTTTTTAATAATAATACGGGATTTTTACCGGTGATTTAGCTATAATAGCCCCAGAATACTTTTAAAGCGCCTTTACGTTCCCGAATCTCGACGGATTTTTTTTTTTTTTTTTTTGGCTTAAACGACTCAAGAGACACTGTAGTTAAAAATATAAAAAAATTTCGATTTGGATAAATAAAACATGTTTAACTCGTTGAGGCACACTGTGTATTGTATGGAGTACTGTTTCTATTCGACCCTTGTCTTCAGGTCAAAATTCTTACAAGGAAGCCACTTGGAAGAGGCGAATTTGTTGTAATTACTCCCAATTTTTTCTCCGTTATATAATGGAATTACTTGTCAAATTCTGCGGTCAATTTTATCTAATTATAATTTATACATTTCTTTTTTCCCCTTCATTTTATTTTTTGTTTGGAGAATTCGAGGTTTTGTTGATTTCTTCAGATTTCGAATACTGTAACTCCTCTTCTATTCGGCCGATTTTTATGAATGAGATCTCTTTTAATTCGTGTTTTTACGGAGAGTAAGAAAAAAATTGGGAAGTACACGCGAAACAATTTTTTTTGAAAATTGGACGAATCCTAGCGTGACGGCGAAATGGTTAATGAAGCATAAGTAATTGGGCGAGGGGCTGAGGATCCCGGCCTCGCTTGGCGACCGTCATTAGCTATTGTTCGTCGAGACGCCGACGCAATGATCAGGAGCGTGGGGAAGAGAGGGCTAAGTGGATTCCTGTATAAGCCACGTTTAGCAAATGGTCTAATGAGTCTCGAGGCTCATCACAGATTGCTTTTACATGATACTTACTTTTGTCTGGTTATCAGAGCAAGGGTACCAAATTTTGAAAAGAATAACAGCCGTGTGGAGATCTGTCAAAGCAACGTTTTGAACAAAGCGGAGTGAGTGAAATTCTCATTCATAGAGTGCCGGCCTGGTCAGCCATCCTCGAATCAGTTCGCTTGCTTCTGCTTATATATGCATATTTTAAATCAGCGCGTCGTACTCTTAGGCTTTTTTTAAAAAAACCAAGTAACGTAGACTCTTGGTATTCACTGCACATAAACTAGAGAGCCCCAGAATGAGAAACACTTTTAAATCATAATTATTGACGAATAAATAAACTTTTTACACGCTTTGGAAAATCTCAGAAGTTCGCGGTAGTCACTTTTCGGTAAGGAACTAAGGGACTCGGTTATTGTATCGAGCAGGGTTCGAAACGATCGCAAAGGCGGTATACTACGTATACGCGCCAAAAATCGAAATCTCAATTTGAAGCGGGGGCTTGGGGATTTTTCGGCTACTGCAGCCTGGCCGTTTAACCCTGAATTATACCCTGTGCAGTTGTTTCGAATGTCTGGCGACTTCAAAAACTATAACACCTTTTGAATATGAATAAGAATACCTGTTTAAGGGGCAGCTCAAAGCTGATCAAACCCCTGGAAATGTTTTTGTTACAATTGAACACATCTCCCCCAACGATATACTTGATTATTTTTCTTTATGCCCAAGGTTCGATTCAAGACAAAATTTTTGTTGCGGCCAAGAATGAAGTAAGAGGATACTCAAAAAAAGGAAAGCTTTTTCTGAACTTCGACACGAACCGAACTGAGGATATCAAACACATGTATGTTGAAATTTTCATTTTTATAGGAGGAAAACATAGAGCGCACATAAAGGGCGAATTTTCTCATTTTGTGTACGTCGGGTCCTGCGATTCTAAGTACTCGTATTAATGTGCGCACTATTATTGTCGCAGCCCCCTTCCCCCCTCCGTAAAAAAATGAAGCGCACGCAGATATTATTCCTGAATTAAACGCTATATCGCAGTAATTTAAAAAAAAATTAATTAAGCGCACTTACATGATTTCTTAAAGACAAAGCACTTTTAATGCTACCATATGGACGTATTTATGCTAAAAGGAACTATGTGCGTAGGATTTGCGTCAGACATAGTTCTTTTTGGCATAGATACGTTCATACGTAAGATTATCAATTATTCTGGAAATAAAGAGAAGGCAATTCGTTTGATTAATTTTTTTTTATTTTTATATTTTTTTTTTATCATTTCAAATGACAGTAATCTATACAGTTAGTCCAAAAACTTCATTGTAGTACTTAACAAGTTGAAACACGTTGACTCCGCGAGTTTGAATAATGGCGCAAACAGTGCGGTCAGTGCGAAACGCATACTAGCGCCTACAAGCCTGAGGGAATACTTCTCGCATTGCGCGCACACCTCGGAGAATACTTCACGCATTGCGCGAACACCACGGTTCGCACACGCAATGCGTGAGGTATCTATACGGCCTTGTAGGCGCTAGTACGCGTACTAGTGGTTTTAATCTTTGAAAAATCGTAATTTCTCAGCTTTGGGCCTTCCGCGGCGCGCACCATATCCATCCAGAGTGTGCCGCGAGCCTGCAATTCTAGGATTAAAGGATCATGAAGATTTTGCATCCCTGGAACGTTAGCCATACAGCCCGTCTGACAAAAATATAACATGCATCTCTCATACAAAGTACTTTACTTTAGCGATACTACGCGTGAGCTAAAAATTAATTCTGTTAAAAAAAGGGGGGGGGGGCGAGTGTACATTGACATTTGGTCATACTTCATCGCTTCTCTGGCTAATAAGGGCGTATTTAAATTTCCGCTTGAACCCTGTTCTCCGTATAATTTTATGCTCTCTGGGGCTCATGCGGAAATAGAGATAAGCCTGAGTCACACCATCAAAATGTGAAGGTCAAGTGCTGTGATTGGTCCAAGTTATCAAATAAGCCATTCACAACACCTGACCTTGATATTTTGATGGCTAGCTTTGATAGTGTGACAGAGGCTTGTACGCCCTTACGTCAAAGGAACGACGAAAGATACGCTTCCCCAGGGATGAGGATTTTCAGTACCAACCTTTCCCCCAGAAAAACATTTCTTTACTGAGAAGATTAATAGACCATCCCTCACAACATCGAATATTTTTTTTATCTGGGTGATCATTTTCAGGTTCATCTCTGGGAGTGACCTGCTCGTTGCGGGCGATCATGTGCTAAATCACTATAATGATTGCAAAGAGGTCGCTGAATTCATGTGTTCTGATGGCATAATGGACATAATTGGCTTATACGGTGGAAAGGCAAGTCTGGACAGTTCAATTTGAACTTACTTCCCTACAAGCAACGATTTTTAAAACAACTTTCAAAGAAGTAGAATATTTTAAAAACACAACTCAAATATTTTGTGGGCATTTATCAACGCATAATTTCCGAGAGGTAAAATTAAAGTGATAAGATACTGAATTTTTTTTAAAATATTAGTTATGGTTTTTCGACACTTAAAATGCTCGAGTTAATGTTCATTGTATAGGGCACTTTAAGAAGAAAGCTGTCATTTTTTAAAGACTTTTTTACCCAAATTTCACAAAGAGTTAAATTTTATTTTAAAAAAACTTCTTAGCCGAAAAGGATTTTCTAAAAATATTATTTTAACAGGTTTTTGAAGAGTTTTTTTTTTAAAAAAGTAATCACTACTAGGGTTTTTCAATTCGATCACGTTACAAATGAGCATTCTATAATATTTGTTTAAATCTCTTTGAATTACAGGGCAGTCCTCTTTCAGTCCTGATTGGGAGCAAAGCTTCAGAGCTGTTGGTTCTAGATAAGTCGGCGCTTTCATGTAAATATTCTCTACCAAGTCCGCCAACAGTGTTTCATCTTTTCAACAATGACGGTGGCCCGACCAAAAATCTGATCACCGTCGGATTTCAGGATGGCCAAATTGCTCTTTATCAAGTTCCGCTGTGAGTTTTGACCTATGAAGTCTTCCTCTGCGATGAAAATGAAACGCCTGTTTTCAACCTTGTTCAGAATTATTTTTAAGGGTTATATTTACCGAATGAGTCAAAGGTAGGGGTTGGAATGTCTAAATATTGAAACTACCGAGTGAGCTGCGAATAAAAATATTTCAAACAGACAAGTACTTATAATTATTAAGATAGTTATGACAAAATACGTGAATGCGTTGAAAGATGTGGGTTCAAATGAGCGGCTTAGAGGACAAGGCGCATAAGTGCAGTTTTTGCTATCTCGAAAAAAAGTTCAAACTGACAAATTTGATGCTTAAAAATTGGAATTTGGGAGCAAATTTTTCACAAAATATGCATGAAGACTAGTTTTGCTTGAAATCATTAATTTCTCAGTTTTTTTTTTTTTTCAAAAACTGCACCTATGGGATTTGTCCTTCAAGCCTCTCAAATGGGAAATGCTGCCATCGTGATGTTTCATCACCGTGAAACATCGCACCAAGTTTCTCGCGAATTTTTACATAAGAAACAATTGTCAAATCGCAACTTCCTCATACATTCAACATCTCCATTATTAATTTTCCTCTTTTGAAAATTTGCAAATCCAGGTACGTGCTTCCTAGTTTCATCATCGATTTGTCGTTCACTTACCGAAATTGTCCCTTTTTTAGCGGCGGTCCTCTGGTAACCAAGTGGATCCTCCAAAATGAGAAAGAACGAGGGGAAGTATCATGCATTCATTTTTACAATATCACAAACGAGGAAACTCCAGACTTAATCGTCGGCCGTCAGGATGGCTCCATTGAGGTTTATAGCATTCCAGAGCAAGACGATTTGATCAACCTGGCTCCCTTTCCGGTGGAGAAATTTTCTTATGTAAGTTCATTATATTCAAGGCAAGGCCTTACAATCATTTTTGGGTTTTTCGTTGATTTGGGTTTTTCGTTGACGCCGGCTTTCGCTCTGAGAATTCTTTTCAATGGAGATGTTGCATGTGTGAGGAATTTGCGATTTGACTGTTGTTCCTTATGTAAAAGTTCGCGAAAAACACGATGGTGCCACTGGTTTTCTCTGAAATCAACTCCCAAGCTCAAAAAAAGCTCTCAAGTTGAGGCCAAAATGGAGGGGATATCCCACTCTACCCTGAGAGTCCACGTCTACATCAAGACAAACTCTCCATGCAAAGATAGGGAGCAGATACATTAGCAGGGTTGCCGTGTTTTTACTTTTGGAGTCCCCGAATAAAGTAGCAGCCCTGTCAACGTATTTGCTCCCTATCTTTGCATGGAGAGTTTGTCTTGACGTAGACGTGGACTCTTAGGATAGCGTGGGATATCCCCTCCATTTTGGCCTCAACTTGAGAGCTTCTTTTGAGCTTGAGATTTGATTTCAGAGAAAACCAGTGGTAACATCGTGTTTCTCGCGAACTTTTACATAAGAAACAACAGTCAAATCGCAAATTCCTCACATATGCAACATCTTCATTGTATGCATGTCGATTGTCATTTTCAGATTCACCTTGACAAGATATTACTGGACAAGGTATACGAAGTTAAGCCATCTGATCCATGTTTCTTGACCTAAATTTTACGCAAAACACGATTCGCGCATCGAAAATTACTGGAAGTAACTCCTAAGCAAGATACTTTTTATGTTTCTCGAAGCGCGAATTCAAACCTCCCGCTCTTGAAAACGCAATGATCTACGTGAGTCAAATCGCACACTAAGCGTTACCGTGGCAGTCTCTGAGATACAAAAATATGGCAACCTCAATCTTGACGCTTTGGCTCAGCTATGGCAAATTGTTTAAATTTTGAGCAATAAAGGGTTAGGAGGGAACAATGTTTGGTTGAGATGCCTGCCATAACCGTTGGAATCAAGTGCGATTTTACTCACATAGAGTATTGCGTTTCTTGTGACTGCGTAACTCAAAATTCCCGGGAACGATGTAAAATAAAAACGTTAAAATCTTAGTCAGGAGTTGAGTTCTGTAATTTCCGATGTAAGAGTCGTGTTTTACATGAAATTCTGATTGAGAGACATATGTATCAGAATGCTTAAATTCCCATCTTTTCTAGTGGTCCATTGATGCGGCTATTTTAAAAAGGCGCAAAATCTAAAGAGAGCAGTAAATAATAGAAAAAATATATAGGAGGCTTAAATCAAGGCGCAGGTCTGACACTTAGTTCGATGTTTTTTCAAAGTCAGCTGTTATTTTACAATTGGCCATATAGTCCGGGGGCATACGTAACAAAACATATGTCCCGTGTGCAGATTCGTGAAGGCATATTGTGTGATACATCAATCTCTTCGTTTTGATGTCTAGAAAAAGAAAATCGATGATGGCCATCTCAAATTTCATACAAACCCCCCCAAATTCAAGATGGCGGCCAAAATGGCGGTTTTGGGGTAAAAAAATTTAAAGTTTGCAAATACGTCGTGTCGGGTGTCGTTTCTTATGTATTTTTGATCGTAGAATCCGAATTTTCAGTCAAAAGTTAGTCCAAAGGTCATTTTTAGGCCAAAATCCAAGATGGCGTCCAAAAATACCTCTTACGGGTACTAATTTGCCTACTCGGGTCTACATGCATTGTGAGGTATCAATTATTAGGTTTTCAGGGTCGTAGAGTCCGAAAATGAGGTCCATTTTCCGCTGCGGCTCTCAAGAAGCCTTAAAATCAAAGATGGCGCCCAAAATGGCCCCCGGTCTTGCGGATGAAACTGCCATTTAAGGCAGCTATAACAAACAATACGTTCAAAATTAAGTTTCTTGGGTCAAGAAGTTTGAATAGGAGATCAGATGTTTACTCCTATAAAAAATTAAGCCTCCGAATCGAAAATCACTGCCGACATTGTTGCCAGTTAAAGGCGCAGACCGGTAAATGACTGATATTAAGAGATTTGCCGAAGGAGGGGTTTCGATAAGGGCCGTTGTTGGGCCCATACCCTGAAATTCTTCAATTTCACGATTGTTTGCTCATTTAAAGTCTAAAGTTTGCGGAATGTATCATGATTTGGTCATTTCCGGTCTATTTAGGGGTCTAATACCGGCCTAAACATGAGACTAAAGGCCGATTTTGGCGAAAAATGCGGGTTTTTTTACATTCGACGTGACGCTGTTTCTGAACGATCCCATCATCGGAGGAGATTGTTGTCCTTCAAGTACGTTCATTAAGGATGTAAGATAGTCACTTTGCCCAATTTTCGTTGATGACAAACCTTGCGCTCAGAGTTAAAACGATCTTCTTAGAATTTTCTTGTTTTTCATCATTATTTAAAATGACATAAAAAGGGCGACTCATCTTAAACCAGAAATAGATTCATTGGTGGAAAATGTACGCAGCTGGTCATAACTGTCCTCCAAAAAATTAATGGATTAAAGCCTCCCCCCCCCCAAAAAAAAGGAAAACCTGTGTTGCCATATTTCATTGCCTAACATCACAGAAAACCGCGTGATTATTTCAGTATTTGGAGGCTGTTCTTCGTAGAGCACATTTAGCAAAGCTCAAAACCCTTGATTTTTCATACGTTACGATCGCATGATTAGTGATTATATAAATGCAATGGAGATGTTGCATGTGTGAGGAATTTGCAATTTGACTATGGATTCTTATGTAGAAGTTCGCGAGAAACTCGATGGTGCCAATGGCTTTCTCTGAAATCAACTTCCAAGCTCAAAAAAAGCTCTTAAGTTGAGACCAAAATGGAGGGGATATCCCGCGCTATCCTGAGAGTCCACCTGTACATCAAGACAAACTCTCCATGCAAAGATAGGGAGCAAATACATTAGCAAGGTTGCTGCGTTTTCTGTTGTGGAGTCCCCAAATAAAGTGGTAGCCCTGTGAATGTACTTGCTCCTTATCTTTGCATAGAGAGTTTGTCTTGATTTAGAGGTGGACTCTCAGGATAGCGTGGGATATCCCCTCCATTTCGGGCTCAATTTGAGAGCTTTTTTTGAGCTTGGGAGTTGATTTCAGAGAAAACCAGTGGCACCATCGTGTTTCTCCCGAACTTTTACGTAAGAATCAACAATCAAAGCGCAAATTCCTCATATATGCGAAATCTCCATAATCCATCATTATTTTGTTTATTATATGTAAGTATCTGTAGAGACTCCCATCGTGGCGCGGCATTCGTACATATCATCGGTAAAAATCGAGAAAAATCCTAGTTGGCCGAGGATTTCAGCCACTTTCTCGGAATATGAGCATTTTGAAATAAATATGTGAGACTCGAATTGCAGTATTCAGAGATGCAAGTAGATTATATTTTGTGTTAGTGATAATTGCTTTAAAATTTTGGGCTTGTAGGTGGCCCATTATCTTACGAATTTAGTACACGATATTTACAAACGAAGGTGCAACTTTGAATCATTGACCGTGATCTGAGATCCGAAAAAAAAGTAAGCCATGTGTCAGAATCACGAGTGCTTAATGCTGATTTTTCACCACCCTGACAATCCCTGCCCCCCGCCATTCTTATTGCCTGCGATCGATCAGAATTCTGCTTCCTAAAAATATTTTGAAACCCTGGTTTCCCTCACTTCTGCCCAGCCACCTAACAGCTTCCTCATCAGTTACTTCTTCATCAGGTTCCCTGTCTCCTGCATCAAACCTCTTGTTTGGAGCTGCCATGTCATAATTTTAGAGAAATGACGCATGCATGTTAATCTAGCAGTAACGCTTAGTTTTTCTGGCTCAGACTTATGTCTGTAATGAGTGAGGCACCAAATGAGAGATGCAATATGAGCTCAGCAGTTGACGACTCTATCGCCCACTTTGCACAGGTAATACCACCCGGATAAGACCATGTTCTATGTCGTATTGCCTTTTAACCAATATTACACATTTTATTGCAATGAATTTTTAGTTTTGGATAAGGCTAGCATTCTCAGCGCGATGATAGTAGAATTCTCATTTTGGTTTCAATGTTGCATTTTTCTCGATTTTTACCGATGATATGTGGGAATGCCGCGCCACGATAAGAGTCTCTATAGATACATACATGTAATAAACAAAATAATAATGGATAATTGCATTTATATAATCACTAATCATGCGATCGTAACGTATGAAAAATCAAGGGTTTTGAGCTTTGCTAATAATGTGCTCTACGAAGAACAGCCTCCAAATACTGATATAATCACGCGGTTTTCTGTGATGTTAGGCAATAAAATATGGCAACACAGGTTTTCCTTTTTTTTTGGGGGGGGGGAGGTTTTAATCCATTAATTTTTTGGAGGACAGTTATGGCAAGCTGCGTACATTTTCCACCAAGGAATCTATTTCTGGTTTAAGATGAGTCGCCCTTTCTATGCCATTTTAAATAACGATGAAAAACAAGAAAATTATAAGAAGATCGTTTTAACTCTGAGCGCAAGGTTTGCCATCAACGAAAATTGGGCAAAGTGACTATCTTACATCCTTAATGAACGTACTTTAAGGACAACAATCTCCTCCGATGATGGGATCGTTATGAAACAGCGTCACGTCGAATGTAAAAAACCCCGCATTTTTCGCCAAAATCGGCCTTTAGTCTCATGTTTAGGCCGGTATTAGACCCCTAAATAGACCGGAAATGACAAAATCATGATACATTCCGCAAACTTTAGTCTTTAAATGAGCAAACAATCGTAAAATTGAAGAATTTCAGGGTATGGGCCCAACAACGGCCCTTATCGAAACCCCTCCTTCGGCAAATCCCTTAATATCAGTCATTTACCGGTCTGCGCCTTTAACTGGCAACAATGTCGGCAGCCATTTTCGATTCGGAGGCTTAATTTTTTGTAGGAGTAAACATCTGATCTCCTATTTGAACTTCTTGACCCAAGAAACTTAATTTTGAACGTATTGTTTGTTATAGCTGCCCTAAATGGCAGTTTCATCCGCAAGACCGGCGGCCATTTTGGGCGCCATCTTTGATTTTAGGGCTTCTTGAGGGCCGTAGTGGAAAATGGACCTCATTTTCGGACTCTACGACCCTGAAAACCTAATAATTGATACCTCACAATGCATGTAGACCCGAATAGGCAAATTATCACCCGTAAGAGGTATTTTTGGACGCCATCTTGGATTTTGGCCTGAAAATGACCTTTGAGCTAACTTTTGACTGAAAATTCGGACTCTACGATCAAAAATACATAAGAATCGATACCCGACACGACGTATTTGCAAACTTTAAATTTTTTTACCCCAAAACCGCCATTTTGGCCGCCATCTTGATTTTGGGGGGGTTTGTATGAAATTTGAGATGGCCATCATCGATTTTCTTTTTCTAGACATCAAAACGAAGAGATTGATGTATCACACAATATGCCTTCACGAATCTGCACACGGGATTACGTATGCCCCCCGACTAATATTCGTCCCTCAATCGGAAAAGTAGCCCGTTTTAGCTTTGTACCTTTGCGTACAAAAGAAAATGCATCGCATCATCAGGAAATTATAAAATTTCAGTTCTATCTCGATGAAGTTCCATAAGAGAAGCCCCTTCAATTCGTGGAAATACAACATGCGCAACATTCTGACACAATAGCAATTTAACTGTGTAATTTTAATTTATCGTACCTAACCTGTGCTACTTAGGATTGGCCATCCTCGCGTCAAAACAACACACAGACTCACACAAAAATAAAGCATTATGAAGCACATTATGAAGAACAAAAGCAGTTCACATGTTTTACTATGTTCAAATCATATACCAGATACCTAGTAGAGAAGTTCACAATTAAGAATTGCTCGGTTAAATACCTGCTGAGAAACAATGACAGGAGTAATCATTAAAATTATTTTTTTTTCCGTTTTAGGTTTGCAACGAAAGCATCCTGTCCGTCCAAGGTGGAGTCGTTGGGAATGCAGGATTTGATGAGATTTTAGTTACCACTCATACAGGTTGATTTTCAAATTCTCCTCTTTTTTCATTCTCTCCTCTCCCCCTCCTGCCCACCCTCTTTATTTACCTTTCCCTTTTCATTTTTTACATTTTTTTTCTGAATCCATCAACCATAATAAAAACATGAGTATTGCATTAAGGTCGATAAGTCTTGTATTGCCAGCTTTCCTTTTGACAATGATCGTCAATTTTCAAATACCACGAAATTTTACACATCTGGCCGGTCCGATATCCCAATTTCTCAAGAGAAACGTCCCCTCAGTTGGGATGCCCTCCCTTTCGATGTACAGTGGATCGAGTCGACAGGAGAAGTCGGACAAAATTTGGAAACTTTAAATGCTTTAAACTCCGTTTTATACAGATCTTTGAGGTACTAAAAGTGGATCCATTGGTTTACTCTTGAAGTTTTCTTCTATGAGCACCCCTTCATATTTAAAATGTGACTAATTAGACATAAAAATTTGCAGTTTTAGTCAAAACTTTCATGTCCTATCCACCAATGGAGAGTTTGTACACACAAATTTTATTGCTTCATCTGAGAGTGCTTAATGAGCTGAGTTCGCAGTATTTTTCATAATTTTTTTCTGACATAGGAAATTAGAGAAAAATAGATTTAAAAGTGAGAAAATGTGCCGCCTCATGACGTCATCTGGCGGCAATTTCCATTTAAACACAAGTGTTCTAGCAGATTAGGTTATTTTGTCATATTTTCTCCAATAATTGTTCAATTTAGAAACCAAGGGTGTCCTCGTACTCAGTTTTCCTAGTAGTATCATTTTAAAGATGAAATTCACAAAATTTCAGACACCTGCAAATTCCCTATTGACCCGATCCACTGAGCGACGGGCGCATTTTCTGTTTCTCGCGGGAAAATTTCGCAGGGACCTTCACAAATGCCAGGACATTCTGAAAATGATTGCAAAATGATGAATATACCATGTTTTCAGAAATCGCAAAGTTAGGAATTCCGAGTCACATTCCACTGTTTTGAATGACGTCGATCAACGATCATACACCTATCATCAGTATTGCACGGAGTTATTTTGTAATTTTTCCTCGCTTTTTGTATAAATTTTAAAAATAAGAAGTAAGGAAGTAGCATTTGAAAAAAAAGTTGGTACTCAAGTTTGCTCTCGTATATATCGGAATTGGCTCCCATTTAAAAAAGGGTTCCCTTCCCGGAGGGCAGGGGCGGATCCATCAATATGGCAACACAAGATTTCCTCCATTTAAACCTATGTTAAATAATCGATTCTTGTCAGAGCACCTGGCCTCTGCAAGAATCGATACATTTCCATAGGTTTAAATTGAGAAAAAACAATTTTGTCAAATTGCAGGATTCGCTAATGCCGGAGGGTGGAGTTGGCTCCCATTTAAAATAGGGAATCGGATTGCATCCTGACATTTTCCGTTTGTTAAAGACTTTAATCTATAATGTACAGTTTGACAAATCGTCACCTTCCAGGCAAAGTATCACAAGCGACATGCGGCGTTTAAAAATTTCCGCCGCCATTTTATTTTTTTACAGAGAAATTGTTCAACGAAGCTGTCCGAAAATTTCACTGAATTTTCTTTGTGCTGCCGATAAAATTTAGTGAAATTTCCAAATAGATTCAACCAACAATTTCTCAGTAAAGAAATAAATTGGCGGCGGAAATTTTTAAACGTCGCATGGCGCTTGTGATACTTTGCCTGGAAGGTGACAAAATAACGAACTTAAATCCATGAGCTCCAGAAAACTTAGTAGAAAGAGTAGATCGAGGCGATAGTATATCGCTGATAACATGACCATATGTTTTCCACCGACCAAATGCGTTGGGAGAGGTTTTGAAGTGTAATAATCGTAAATTTTTTTCTGAAAAAATTCAAAGTCAAATTCGTTGTTCTGAATCCATCAAAACAACAGCGGAAATTTTGTTCCGTTGCAATCAAGATACATTTCTTTTTACTTTCACCATCGAATTAATACGATTCTTATGTCAGCTTGATCAAATATAATTTTGGAAAACGAAATAAAGAATCTCTGGTCTTCAAAGATTTTCCATTTGTTGCATTAGGTTGGCTTTTTGGTCTAACAACGGAAGTTGTCGATAAACAGACTGTTGGTCCAAATGAGACCTCCTCTTCCCACATCGGCGTTTCACAGAAGGAAAAATTGAAAGTGGCTCGTCTAAGGTAAATAACAATCGAGAAGATTTTCTTATGAATCAACAAAGAAAATAATGCTTCTTTAAAAGAAAAGCTGCTTACATAAAAAGAAAAATCACTTACATTAAGCAGGAACCATAGCTTCCATTCAGCTATTTTATTCTTGATTCAAAATAAAATCTTCTCGACGGCATACTCAAGAATGTTTCTGGTTAAATTGAGTCACTTTTTTCTCTAATGAATTCCAAAAATTATGCTAAACGTTATTAAATATACGGATGCTAGGACTTGGTGAGTTTTTAGACTACTGCTCTCTTTTTGTGCTGAAGTATCTTGATTTATTTTGCGAAGAAAGCTCCGAACTCTTAAAGGATGCCTGTCATTTTTCATACGTTGGAGCGCCTTCAATATGTATGATACTGTGCAACACCTCTGTTGTGAAATAGTTGCTTGAAGCGCCGCGCCGCGGCGGGCGAGGGCGACCCGACCAGCGAGACACGCGCATTGGCGTCTACAAACCTAATAGGGATACTTCACGCATTGCGCAATGCGTGAGGTATTCCTGTTAGGTTTGTAGGCGCCACACAGTGGAGTATTATACCCGAAAAGCTGGCGAAAAGTCCAAAAAATAAATGTGGTAAAAGTTTGGTAAAACAGGTAAATAATGATTCTCTGATATCTACTGCATGACATTGTGACAACAGAATCCGCTTAATATTACTGGATGGTCGAGGAAAAAAGGGTAAACCCAGCGGTTTCGCGCGCATCTTAGCTCTAGTTCAGTATTGTTTACGTTCAGCTTTTCAATCAAAGTGTGTATGCAGTGACAGGTACAAGCTACATCTGCAGGCTTATTGGCAGCCATTATTCATGGTAAGTAGTCCCTTTTTACACGTATATTACTATAATTAGAAATTTGATTGTGTGGCATGTATATGCTGTTGCCAAATCGTTCAGTAAAATGCGCATTTTCCATGAAGATGCTTAAATAAGATAGTTTCTGAATATGTGCCGGGCTGTGTCGGGCTGAAAATGAAGGATTTTCGTAAACTAGAACCCAACCGCAAGATTTTCCCGCAAAAATTTTTTACCCATATTCACCCTTTGAATTTCTGCGAATTTTTGAAATTGAGCTTTGTTTTCAAGCAAAAATCACGTACTTCCGAATTTTGGATCCTATATGTTTTTCAGGTCAATAATGTGAGCCTCAGCATTAAATGGAAGTCTCATGACACTCCTGGAGTTCTTTGTGTGTGATTCACACAGATTTGATATGCGACGTTGCCAAATTTACGTCAATTTTTATAGAGTGTGCCACTATATTACGCTGGAAAATTCGTAAACGAAGTAGTTTCTGAATATGTGCCGGGCTGTGTCGGGCTAAAAATGAAGGATTTTCGTAAACTAAAACCCAACCGCAAGAGTCTCCAGCAAAAATTTTTTACCCAAATTCACCCTTTGAATTTCTGCGAATTTTTGAAATTGAGCTTTGTTTTCAAGCAAAAATCACGTACTTCCGAATTTTGGATCCTATATATTTTTCAGGTCAATAATGTGAGCCTCAGCATTAAATGGAAGTCTTATGACACTTCTGGAGTGGGGAAGGGTTTCTGAAGGGTTCATAGTATCAGGAAGGATCCATATTTAGTCTGAAAAGAGCCTAAATTACGGACAAATTTTTCAATGTAGTACAGTGGCACACTCTAAAATGTTATGTAGAATTGGCAACGTCGCAAATCAAATCTGTGTGAATCACATACAAAGACATCCAGAAGTATCATAAGACTTCCATTTAATGCTTAGGCTCACATTATTGACCTGAAAAATATATAGGATCCAAAATTCGGAAGTACGTGATTTTTGCTTGAAAACAAAGCTCAATTTCAAAAATTCGCAGAAATTCAAAGGGTGAATATGGGTAAAAAATTTTTGCTGGAGACTCTTGCGGTTGGGTTTTAGTTTACGAAAATCCTTCATTTTTAGCCCGGCACAGCCCGGCACATATTCAGAAACTATCTTATTTAAGCATCTTCATGGAAAATGCGCATTTTACTGAACGATTTGGCAACAGCATATACATGCCACACAATCAAATTTCTAATTATAGTAATATACGTGTAAAAAGGGACTACTTACCATGAATAATGGCTGCCAATAAGCCTGCAGAATGTAGCTTGTACCTGTCACTGCATACACACTTTGATTGAAAAGCTGAACGTAAACAATACTGAAAATAGAGCTAAGATGCGCGCGAAACCGCTGGGTTTACCCTTTTTTCCTCGACCATCCAGTAATATTAAGCGGATTCTGTTGTCACAATGTCATGCAGTAGATATCAGAGAATCATTATTTACCTGTTTTACCAAACTTTTACCACATTTATTTTTTGGACTTTTCGCCAGCTTTTCGGGTATAATACTCCACTGTGCGCCAATGCGCGTGTCCCACTGGCAGCTCGCGGAGTGAGCATTTTTCAACTCATGATTTTGAAATGTTTGCTCACTCAGCGTTGTTTATTCTCTTTAAATTGGTGGGGAAAAAATATGTATTGATGTAAAATAATTTTTTTGTGTTTTTCGTAATTATTAAGGTGATACCATGTCAAATTTAATGGTTTCCAAGGCACTTTAATTTTTTTCTTTATATTTTGTGCTTCTACTGTGCTGTGGTGTGGTGTACGCGAAACCAAACGCTTAACATTGGACGTATTTTATTCTAAAATATGGATGTACGAATGGGTTAAATCCAAAGATTGTGTGCTGCTTGGTTTTTTCCCCTCTTTGATTCATTTTTGTGTAGTTTCTTTCAACAAAACTACGGCTTATTGAGATTAATAAATAAACCATCGCTTGAAAAAGGTTTTACAAATGTTTGCCACGTTTTAAAAATGTAAATATTTTTAAAATGAAGTAATATTTTCGTTAAAAATATAAAGAAAAAAGGTATATACAAGATATTTTTCATACTGAAAATTTTAACGATAGAAATAAAACCAAATATTCACCAATGACAATTTGAAAATATGTCGAAGTCACTGCTGCTCATTTTACGCGTGGACGTAAACTACTGGACAAGACTGGTGCGCGGACAAAAAATCGTTGACGGAATGTCCTGAAACCGACATTACAGACTCTAAGGCAATAGTGTATCCCCTTGGTTCATTTGATTTTATGTTTTTCTCCGTCAAGAGGTGGAGGAGGAGGCACAGGTGGTCAGAGGTGAACTGGCCCAAAAAATTAGTCCGGAGAGCGACTTCACTGAAAAAAAATTCCCGGCGTTTTTACCAAGGTCCGTTGGTACCTTTACCATCTCACTTTTTTACCAATTATTGGTAATTTTACCAAGACAGACTGGTATAAGCTTACCTAAAAACCGGCATTTTTATTGTTTTTTTTCAGGTAAGAATACCACTTTTATTGGTAATCAATTCCCGGTAACTTTGTCATTTTATCTCGGTAATTCTACCACAGTCGATACAAAATATTGGCGTTTTTACCGAGGTCCAGTAAAATTACCGAGAAAGCTCAATAATTTTACCGAGATTTCTCGGTAAAATTACCAATTCCATAAATGGTAATTTTACCAAGAAAAAATTGAGATTAAATAGAACCCTGAATTCTTGGTAATTTTACCCTTTTCTTAGTAAATGCACCGAGATTTTTTTTTCAGTGTTCTAACCAATGCTCCCATTTCCCGGAACTAGTTACGAATTCCGGAACTTTTGAAGTTCCCGACATTTTCTGGAACTTTGAAAACATCTAAAAAGAATCCTAGAACTCTTGACGGGCATGGAATGGGAGCACTGATTATAACCAACCTGCTTGGATGACAAAAGACGCACTTACCCTTACCATCCTCCCTCTTGTTTGGAGGAGGGAGTGTCACCTTTTGAGTAAAAGTCAATCAAGTACCACTCTTTCTTTTTTGTGCTCAGGGCAGAAATCGATGAAATTGAAGGGAAAGTGGCAAAAGAACGAGAAAAATATCAAAATTTAACTCAAGCCGATTCAGATGGACTGTCAACCATTCCTCCTTTGTCCATAAGGGACAAGGTAAGTTGAAAAAGAAACAGATCAGACACTCTCTACCTATTTAGCCTCCAGTGGTAATTTGAGCCATTGGACATTATATCTCCTCTTTTCTAGCACCATACATCTCTAGAGTACCTTGATGGGGAGAGTAGGGCCACTGGGCCCCATGGAGAGGCTTAGGATCCAAAAATGGCGGTGTTTTGTTTTGGTTTTTGAGGATGGGAGGGGGATCATCGCCAACTTTTGACGGTTATCACCAACCGCACTTGCTGCCAATCTTACTAGGTACATCCACGATAATTTTTCTCGAAAATTGCACACGATTAGCCGTGAAACATTGTAAATGTCGCAATAGCGCATTCGGGTAAATTTCTCGTTGCGATAAGCAAAGGAAACAACATTTTGAGACATTTTGTATTACATTAGCTCACAGCATCCGCCATTTTTGGGTCCTAGAAGGCTTCATTCAACCTAAGATGGCTGAACCAATCAGAGGTGGAAACCGAAGTGGTCATACTCTTCCTATTAAGGTACTCTAATAGAAACGACCCAACATTCACCCATTTCACATAAAGTATGAAAGGAAGTCTGCAACTTCGCAAAGCGAGATATACATTATACGTGGTCTGGTAGTTTCACTGTCAATGCGCTTTTCACTAAAAATCACCAAAATGTCACTTAATTCTTTCTTTCATTAATGACTAATCTCATAAATCCTAACCCTGGATCTAATTTAGACTTTGGCAAAAACTCTGCTCTCATGCTGAAATTCTGTCGCTAGCTCACTTTCTGCAAAGAGGATACGTCCTACCAGCTTACTCTTGAAGTGGAAACAACCATAGACAACGTTTTGGTTCAAGCTGATTTACCCATTGAATTGATGGACATCGACAAGAACTCAGCAGTTGTCAGCCATAGCGCTTGCGATGCAGAGGTAAAATCTTTCTCTCTTCATCAGATTTAAGAAAAATAATTTCTTTGCCCTTATATTCCCCTTTTCTCAATTTGGCTTTAATCTAAAGTGACAAATTTTTGGGGCTGGATTTGGTTCCTCTTATTTTTTCTCGGAGTTAAAATCAAACCGTGCTATTGCAAGAGATTTCACGATTAAGAGGGCGGGAGAAGGTTTCTCTTGAGGGGGAGGGGGACCATTAAGATACCATTTACGCTTATTCACCCGAATCTTTCATATTTTTGAAGCGGGCGTAACTTCATTCGGGAATGGGGGAATAGGGGCATTTTCTGGAGGGTCCGTTTGGAGCGAAAGGTACGTTTTGGAACTATTCAAGAGATTCAAAGATGGGTGGGAGGGATTGTTGCCTTTTGGTGAGGCTGCAACGCGTAAATTTTTGTCTGAGGAACCCTCATTTTCCAGGATTTCTATGAATTATTTACCTGTGAATCCTCCCCCCCCCTCCCCATGTAAAATGTCTCGCTGCGTCCCCGCGTCACTGCGTCACTGCAAGCTCTATTATTATCTTCTTTGCCAAGTTTACAGAAAATTGCAACTTTGCATTTACGGTAAAATAAGTTCCAAAAATCGTCGAAATTCGCAAATTTGCCCTTGATCGTATACGTATTTGGTGAAAAAATTATGATGGCGTTGACTTGAGACATCGAACTAGTGCTCTAAGAAAAATTTGAGCTTGAAAGTCTCCCCAATAGGTAACATTTCCTTGCCTAATCACCCTTCAGTAAAAAATGTTTGACTTCTGTGAAAAGTTGTAAAACGCTCCTCCGAACCGAAGGTTAACTCCGTCAGAACTCCCCCCCTCCCTAGCTCAGTCCATTACTTTGACGCTAGTTTTTTTCACGCCTTTTAGCACTAAATCAATGTCTTACGTGGCTGCTTTGAAAACGGTTGCTTGTTATAGTCGTGCGCACGTGGGGATAACATAAAGGCAAGGGAAGTCAACGCGCCTTCAATTTTTTGTGTATACATCACTTGCTCGAGTTGGATTATTTGCGTATCCAAACGTTGTCACCAGTTTTGCGCTCTCTTGTTTGGACAGAGTCCAGGAGGAGGGAATGTCCATTGACCTTTTATTGCGTACCGTAACGGTACGCAACCGTTGCATGACATTACCAAACGGTTATTTTGGTTTTAATCTTCTATGGCAGTTGTCCATTGCATCAAATAGTTATTGGGAGGAATTAGAAGTCCGATCTCCAAAATGTCCAAACAAATTGAAAAAATTGACCCCGGCTGTTTCAATAATAAAATAAGTGCCGTACAATGTAGATTTTTTCTCCAAAATCGGCCATTAGCTCATGCAATAATGGGTTGAAACTGAGAAAAATATATCAGAAATTTTATTTTTTCTTTAGGCAATTAAGGCTTAAGAAATAAGATGGAATACTCTTTTCCAAAAGATGTAACTATGTTTTTTTCTATATGGTTTTCCAGAGTGGCAATTATGTTTTAGCTACGTATCGGTGTCAGATTAACACGACGCGTCTTGAGCTACGATTTAAAACAACGGAGGGGCAGAGTGGTATGATGAGAGTCTACATCACACCTCTTGTACATCCGAAGTGCTGTTCTGTCAGGCAGTATCACATCAAGCCTCTCTCTCATCATGCAAGAATCCATAACCACGAGACCCTCAGGTGACGAATACATGAGTAATTTAATCTCAATAAAGAGTTTTAGCGAAAAACCTACCTAAAAGTCCACAACTAAAACCACCTGGTTGAGGCAAAGGTATAATACTCACTGAACCTCTCAGAAATCGCTTTAATGACGGATTAGTCGCATTTATCATAATGACGTGATTTTCTGGTCAAATTTTCAGCATTAAGCCAAAAAGTTTAAATAGGGTTGAAACAGATGGTGATAAGGCACTTCAAAATCAATTTTTTACATCCCAAAGCAACGAAACCCGAACTCTTCAAAATACGATGCGTGGTAGCTTCCAGACAGTGAAGCATAACAGCAACTGGAGTCCCGTGCTTTCCGTGCATAGGTAAACTAATGGCACATGCGTTGTTTTTAAACCGGGCTTGAATTTATAGTTCCTAATTGGGAAATGTAGTCCAAATAACGCGATACTTAAGAAAATGCCTATTCTGGTTTTTTTATTTTTTTTTTTATTTTTTTCTTATTTTCTTCTTCTTCTTTTTCTTCTTCTCCTTTTTCAGAGAGTATCACGCATTATCCCTAAAAGGGACGTTCAGTCTTCTGGAAATTCATTCTTGGATTAGTCAATGCTTGCCTGAAGTGCCTGAAAAGTTGCCGGTTGAAGATAAGATTAGCTATGTTTTCCAGTCAGTTTCTGTGGGCACGGTGTTGTTCTGTGAATTTAGGTAAGATAAAAATTTTTTTTAAAATTTTAATGGAAATGCATCATGCAAAATCGTGTCGGTGCATTGCACTGAGAGTTGATCATAAAATCCTCGAAGTTCAAATGAGCCGTGTTACATTACAGCAGCGTTGCCAAATGGCACACATTTTTCACCAAAATATTTCCGCAAGGACATACATCGCGTATATGTAATTCCCCAAATTACTATCAATGACATTTCCGCAATTATTTGCACCATTTTGCAACGCTACCATGATATGGTGTCATACGTCTCATCCAAAATTCGAGAATTTCCTGGTGAATACCGTAACGAAACACGCACGTGTAAATGTAACGTAGAAGAACTGACTCGTCAAGAACTGACAATTACAGCCACACGCGGTGCGTGTACTAAGGGATACCGGAGCGCCTGCAGTCTTTAGTGTATGCAGCCCGCACATACCGCGAACCAAAAGTTGCATCTACATAGATCTAACCATCGAAAAAACCAGAATGCCTTCAATTTTCTCTGCTTGTGATAACGTTTTTCATTTTATTCCAGGCGAGGAGAGGCTGAGTTCAAATCTAATAATGTTTCTACGATAGCCATTATCAAAGATGTTATAACGAAAGAAGCCACGGCGAAGAGGATAAAGCTTGAGATTTCATGCTGTGAGTAACAGATTTTTTACCTTCTTTTAATCCCATCCATACTATAATAATGTTTCTACGATATCTTGATATCACGAAAAATGATTTCCCACTAGAGAGGCCATACCTCAGAAATTATTTTTTCCTAATCTTATTGTTTAATATCAGAGCTACTAGCGCTTTAATATTACTTATACTCTTTCTAATTCAATTTTTATAAGAGTACTAGCGACCCGTACGTGCTTCGCACGTATAAAACATACAATCAGAGAAAACAGAATTCATCTCACAATAATCAATAATCAGTAGGACATGAATCGTTGCGATGTATTATACGACATTATAATGTGGCATTACTATTATAATGCATTACAATTTGGATTATAGGCATTATAAATCATTATTTGCCACTTGTGTCTTTCCGAAAGAAAATGGGGCATGTTCCGTTTACTTGAACATTCGTGACCGGATCTGGGAAAATGGATCTTATCCTCCAGGGAATAACTTTCCAAGAGAGTCTTTAGGGTAAACTTCCGAATTTGGTTTGGTCCCAGGTTTGTATCCCGGTGGTGGCGACAAATTTTCAGGGAGCTGACGGGCGGATCTGCGGAAACAGACTCCACACGGCGTGAATCCCTGAAAATGTCAATGTCTGGAGTATATGTGCCAACCCTAACTCTTCAAGTGCTGTGGCTGTTTGTTTAGTAGCAAAGCCAGGGTGGTAAGCGTCAGAGAAAACCGGGAAAAGTCAGGAACTTTCGTGTCCGGTCAAGGAATTTTCACGTATGAACAATTGAATACAGTGCGTGATAAGCAATACCGCGCTACGCCGCACAGTGGGAAAAACAGACCCTGGGGCGGCGTAAAATCTGTAACTCGGAGGGAAATGCATATTTTTGCTATTTTCGGATTTCCGCTATATTGATAGGTATAAAACTTCTTGTCATCTTCTTTCAAAAATTACAAGAATTTTTCATTTTCCTTACTTTCGTGGTGATACAGTAAACTTTTAACACGTCCTTGCCAATTATCTTAATCGAATGATCTTCAAATTAAAATTTCTCAAACAGGATTTCACTCATTTCTTTTCGGGGAGCATCACTTGTGAATATTGGAGGGGGTTGACTAGTTACATTTCTTTTTGATTTTGGATTCTCTTTATTAGAAATTTGTTTCCCTTTAGTCTCTGATCCTAAAATGGATAATTGGTTTCCCATATTAGTACAGATTTTACCATCGGTTTTCTGTCCTTCCGTTTGTTTCTTATTTTTATTGGAATCTCTTGCTACTGAAAAGGATCTTTTGTCTCATTTCCTTTTTCTTCTGTCTCTATTTCTTTTCTTTCTCTGCAAATTCTCATTTTCATTTTGAGTCTCTTTATTTTCCACTCTATTAAAAACTTTTGGTTCTGGTTTTTTGCGGCCTCTGTTACAATCCTTTCACTTCTTATAGCAGGTACGATGACTTTAGTCAGTTCAGATCCTTCTCTGTAGCTTTACGCCGTGTTCGTCTCAGTGCTGTAAAACTGAATAATATCTATTTCGGAATTTTTTAATTTCTTATTAATATCACAACCTTATAATTTCTTCCATTAGAAGCCTCGTGCAATAAAGAAATTTAAAAACAATTTTTACCCGGTGCTCAAACAACTGTGACACAGGTTGAAATTTGAGGTTTTTAGATAAAATAACACTGCATTCCTATGGAAAACGGCCAGTAACGGCGCTAGAGAACGAAAATTTCGTCCGTTTGGTCGTATCTGCGATACATCGGGCCCGAAAATTCCCGTCTGGTGCAACGCATCCGAATTTTGAATCATTCACTCTCATATTTTGGTGGAGTTTAAAAACTTTAATGTCATTCTATAAATATGATGATTTTAGACAGGCATCAATTTCATTAGCTCTCGTCCCTCTAGGTATGACGGGCAATGTTTGTCTGAAATCTCCAGATAGTAATGTTGTTACTCCACCCATTCTGCGCTTATCATTACGAATGTCTTGAAGTGTACGATCAAGAGCTTCAACACCAGCCCTATGTGCTATTGTAATTTCACCCCAGACGATGAATGAAGTTGTTTTAAGTAGTTCTGCAATTTTACTCTGTTTGCTTATGTTGCAAAAGTAGATATCCGCTGAATTTAAATTTAATGGCAGTTTAAAAGCACTGTGAGCAGTTCTTCCGTGTAATAATGATGCATTGGCCCTACACATTAACATGAATATTCCATAAGAATTTGCCAGAAATTGTTCAAGAATGATTTTTTTGGCGGGGTGTGACAATATTATTGATTCACTTTTTTAAAATAAGGGCGTTAAAGTTGGTTTGAGTTAAAGAGATTCCTGCTTGGCACGGAAGGCTAGGGTTGACAGAAAATCCTTCGGCGCGTGGGGAGTGCGGCG